GCTGTAGTTATGAGCAGATTACATGATGAGCCACTGTGAGCTTTGCACATCTGAAAGACAAGGAGATGGGGAAAGTTGAAGCACAGAATGAAAGAAGGCCGGCGAGATGTAGTGTCACATGGAACGGCAACATTTAATGACAAATGTCGGTGCGTATAGCGCCTGTGTGGTCCAACGTAGATTGGAGATCGAAATGAGACTTGGTGAAAGCTGTGATGTGATTATTTGCTCACTTCAACCAAGTCCATATGACTGTTGTGTTGCCATCGGCTGAAAAAATGTCTCAAAACTCTGTGCAATAACCATGTAGTGGCAGCTCACCCCGAAGACATGAACGAATGTTTCATGATGGATTGAGAGTAAACAGTGGCGAAATAAATGAATTCTTTTCTCTTGAGTTAGCAGAGCAAATTCCATGGTTAAAACTGCTGTGTACACTTTTTATATAGCAAAACAGCTCAGGATTCAAAACGAACAACAGTATTTTCTTTAAAGTTTGTCATTTATTTATTTTTTTTTTAATTTATGTAGCTTTTTATGTGTTCTTTTCTTCTTCGCTTTTTTTACGGCTTTTCACAATGCGCTTAACCCCGTCGTTCTTTTCCACTTTTAACTGCAGGTAGAGAAGTGTTTCACACTTAATTTAGGGTACGCTTACATGACAACAATGTACTAAAAACAAAAACAAAAAAAATTCTTTGTGTTTTTGAAAAGTTTCACATACAGACGACAACATTGTCGAAAAGATCCCCGTTCACACAGATCCGCGAAAACGACTAAAAGCGCTGTATTATTCCTGCCAGGCCAGTAGTTGGCGATGTCACTCTGTAAAGAAACATACCAACAGACTGCGCAGGACATCACAAATTTGCATTTTTGTAGTTTACACAAAAACTGCATCTCATTTTCTCCTCCAACTTCAAAATCGTCTGACATCGTTGTTTTACCTTTTTTATTTGTAAAGGGTGTTTGACTTTCTTTGCACGTTCGCTTTGTACCCTGAAACAACATACAGAACTACCACATTTTGCTATAAGTTTGATTGCATCATATAATAATTGCTGTTAATAGTGTTCATCGTCTGTTTGATTACGTCTTTAATGTATTTTTTTCCGTACATTTCTGCCATATGTACATTAACTGACAGTCACCACTGATAAGCTACCACTAAATATTGTAGAAACTTAATTTGATGTAAAGTTGCTTTGCAACTATTTGTATCGTAAAAAGCGCTATACAAATAAACTTGAATTTAATTTTATTTAATTTAATTGGATACGTGCAACAACAAAAAAAGCGGTAAGAAAACTACAAACATGGCGGGTGTGTGTGACCTACGGATAAGTAGAGGTTTAGATTAAGGGGCTCGAGTTACTAATAATAAACATTTAACCTGGTAATAAAATATTGATTTAATGTTATCTGTGATATTTGTTTCTTCTGCAACAACAATGTGAACTTTAAACATCTGTTTGGGCATTAAAGGCACAATATGTAATTTTTGCCACTAGAGTGCACGTATTTAAAACAAACAAAGAAACAAAGGCGTAGTTTGATGACGCTGTGACTGAGTGTGGAATCATGGGAGTTGTGGTCTTCATCCCCACAGCCGAAGCAATCCAGAAATCATGTTCGTGGATGAGCTAATGATTTATTAACGTAGTAGAATGAAGCAGGGTGAGGCTGAAAGCCGTCGAAGCGAAACGAGGCCGCTGAACGAGCGTGATACTTTTATTATGCCACAGTCGACCGCTTCCGCTGCTTCCGGTCGTGCGTATGTGGGGTAAAGCAGCGCTGTTTTATCATACTAGATACATTTGAAAGTTCTGTTATAATGCTACTCTGTGCGGTCGTCACCGGTCTATTAAAACACACAACATATTAAAGCGTCT